GATTCTGAAGCACCCGAAGCAGCCATGTAGGCTCAGCGCATTCGGGAATAATATATAGGGAATTTGGGAATAATATATAGTGAGGATTGAGAGAAAGCGAGAATCTCCCTCTCCCAGTTCATCAAAATCCAATCTTCTCCAATTACGACGTCGTTCGCATACCTCAGATCGCCGTACACACCCGCAGCCACCAATGGGGAAAGGCGGAGCGCTCTCCGACGGGGTTGTGAAGAACATCATCCTTTCCTACACCTACGTCTCCATCTGGATCTTCCTCTCCTTCGCCGTCATCGTCTACAACAAGTACATCCTCGACCGCAAGCTTTACAACTGGCCTTTCCCCATCTCACTCACCATGATCCACATGGCCTTCTGCTCCTCCCTCGCCTTCGCCGCGGTCCGCATCTTCAAGCTCGTCGAGCCCGCCGCTCTCACCCGCCGCGTCTACCTCACCTCCGTCCTCCCCATCGGCGCCCTCTACTCCATGTCCCTCTGGCTCTCCAACTCCGCCTACATCTACCTCTCCGTCTCCTTTATCCAGATGCTCAAAGCCCTCATGCCCGTCGCCGTTTATTCCATCGGGATCCTCTTCAAAAAGGACAGCTACAAAGGCAGCACTATGTCCAACATGCTCGCTATTTCTTTTGGGGTCGCCATCGCTGCTTATGGAGAGGCCAAGTACGATTCTTGGGGGGTCTTTCTGCAGCTTGGCGCTGTTGTCTTCGAGGCGACAAGGCTGGTGTTGATTCAGATCTTGTTGACCTCAAAAGGGATTAACTTAAACCCCATCACCTCTCTTTACTATGTCGCCCCTAGCTGTTTAGCCTTTCTTTCCGTTCCATGGCTGTTGGTGGAGTATCCAGTTTTGAAGCAGCATTTTTCAGGATTTCATTTCGATTTTGTGATTTTTGGGACTAATTCATTGTGCGCCTTTGCCTTGAATTTGGCTGTGTTCTTGTTGGTTGGAAAGACTTCGGCTTTGACCATGAATGTAGCTGGCGTAGTGAAAGATTGGCTGTTGATTGCTTTCTCTTGGTCCGTGATTAAGGACACCGTGACGCCCCTGAATTTGTTTGGATACGGGTTGGCGTTTTTGGGAGTGGGGTATTATAACCACTCGAAATTGCAGGCTCTGAAGGCGAATGAGGCACAGAAAAAGGCACAAATGGCAGAGGAAGAAGAGGAAGGGAAGCTGTTGGGCGAGGGGAATAGAGATGGGAATGAGAAGAAGGGAGAGTCACAGGCCTAATTGGGGAATTTCTTGCAGAAAACACAAAATTAGAAGAAGAAATATAGTGTCAGTTGGAATAAATGTGAAGAAGAAACTTGTGTTGCAGGTTTGCTTTGATGTTTTCCTGTGGATGTTTTGTGATGAAGCTGATTGGTTAGCTTGCATTGCTTGGTTGTTGGTGACCTTAGAGATGAAGATTTCTTCTTCATGTTAATGGTTTATGTATCACCAGTGAACAGTAGTCTTATAGTGTTTTAGGCTTTTCAATTTCTGGTCTATTCATTACATTTGCAGTTATGAAATTACACATTACAATTGTTCTGTTATTGAAGACCTTTTCTTGCTTTCTTTATTTTCATGGAGTGATGGCTTTAGCCTTTGAAATATCCAAGTTGATGCGTATTGGCTGGATGATTTCTGCTCACCTATTACTATTATGTTTTTAGTTGGGACAGATCTAAGATCCACAACTTTTTGCTTGTAATAATCTTTTCCATTTGTTATATTAGGGATTTAGGAATCTGAAAATGAAAAGGTGTGATGTACCTTAGGTGTTTGACTGTCCTGTAATGGTGGTGAACTGGTGATGTGTGCTACATTATTATTGGCATAATTTGTTCATTTGTTACACTTGGCAGAAGGTTAATGCCCAAGTTGTTTACATTGCAGAAATCTTTGGGATGATGCAATGATTTAGCAAAAGAAAAGGCCTCAGTTCTACGAATGGGTCCTTGAGTCCTGGTAGAATCATAAGAACAACTATCGGTTTATTCTAATCACTACAAGATTCAATTTTTCGACAAAATTCCTTGAAGCATTACCTGATTACATAGCTCCACCAAGTTCTGCTTATTCGAAAGACGAGTGAGTTCTTTTATTTTCTTCTACGTATAATTAGATTGAACCTCTGGAGAATTTGCTCACTTTGTAGCACTGCCTATAATATTTGCACTTGCTTTTCCTTCAAAGGGGTTTTCATGAACTTTTTTCAAATTTACTGTGAACATGCCACTGCCAGAAGAGGTTAGTAAATTGGCAACGTAGCTTACGTAGTTTTAGTCGATTGAATATTGATGATTTGCGATTCGGTCCTCACATTCTTACACTATATGTTTTTTTTTTTTTAATGCATTTTTTGCAATGTTACATCATTCTCTTAAAGTTTCTAGTAGTGCCGAAAAAAAAGCTAACAGAGAGTGGAGCCATGTATCCGGAACTGTATAAGATAAAGTGCTTTGATGCATACATCCAAACGGGTGATTGCACTACCCCTCGCCTCTCGGAGTTGTTACAAAACAAGAGGAAAAGAAATAAGAGTTGTTGCAGAAGTTTTTCAGGGGTACAAATCCAACTACAATCATTTCACTTTTCAGGGGTACAAATCCAATACAAACATAAACCATTTTATTAAGCTAACTAGAGGGTACTTTTCATAATATGTCCTTAATCTCTCCACCAAGCTCAATCACCGCACTTCCAGAAACCTTCCGAACCCCCCTATTCGCCATTGCACCTCTAACCTTGTCCTTCTTTCCCCAATCTGCCATTTTCGCATAAATGCTCGAGAGCAGAACATAATTCGCATCCTGCATGGGCTCCTTCTCGATAAGATCCTTCGTTATTTTCTCCCCAAGACTCAACTTATCCTGCGCTCGGCAAGCTGACACCAAAGTCCGCCATATCACGGGGCTCGGCGCCACCGGCATTCTCTCCACAAACTCCAATGCCTCCCTCACAAGCCCGGCCCGGCCCAATAGATCCACCATGCACCCGTAATGCTCCATTCTGGGCCCGATCCCATACTCATCCACCATTGAGTGGAAGTACCTTTTCCCCTCCTCGACCAAACCGGCATGTCTGCAAGCCGTGAGCAGACCTATGAATGTGACGTCATCCGGGCCCACAAGGGCCCGTTTCATCTCCTCAAAAAGGGACACGGCCTCCAAGGCATGACCGTGCGCGGCCATCCCAAAAATGACGGAAGTCCAAGAAACAACCGTCCTTTGGCTCGTGGGCATTTTCGTAAATAGACCGAGAGCGCAGTCGAGATCACCGCATTTGGCATACATGTCTATAAGAGCATTGCATAACTCTGTTCTCATCTCAAACTTCTCCTTCTTGATGTAAGACTCGATCCATCTTCCGAGCTCAAGGGCTCCCGAATCAGCACATGCGGATAGCAACATAACCATAGTGACAACGTCCGGCTTCAGCCCGATCATCTGCATTCGCCTAAACAGCCCGATTGCTTGACTTGATTTTCCCCATCTCACGCACCCACCGATCATTGTGCTCCAAGAAACAGAGTTTTTTTCAGGCATTTCATCAAATACCTTCTCTGCAGATTCAAACCCATTTTCGCAACTAGAGTACATGTGAATCATGGCGTTGGTGACATGCGTGTTGGCACAAAAACCGAGTTTCAAGACCGGCACATGGACTGTTTTGCCCAGAATAAAGTCCCGAATGCCAGCACACGCCTTGAGGACAAAAGGGTAGGTGTAGTTATTGGGTGACACCCCATAACTGAGCATTTTTCTATAAAAAAGTAAAGCAGTAGGCTTCGAATGAGTTGTCCGGGCATACGCTTCAATAACGGTGTTGAAGAGGAAGGTATCATTGTAATGGGGCTCTGATTCTGGGGAAAAAATGAAAGAACGAGAATAGTCGATAGCGTCGATGCCGGAGGAAATGGAGGTGAATTTCGACAGGATTAATGGATTGTTTTGGTGGCCGAGCTTGAGAATTATTGCTTGGATCTGAGTTAGTGTGGAGAAAGAGTTGCAGAGCTCAAGAAGAGCGAGGCAGTTCTGTTCTGCGGCTCTTTTATACATTATTATGTCATAACTTCAACAACTAGTGTCGAGTATACACCGAAAAAATCTCATCTTGACATAAAGCCCGAAACATTGTGCTGGATTTGAGCGCCAACTAGTATTATTATATATTTAAATCCAAATTCGAACTTTTGGTTTTGGGTTTAGTTCATTTTCTCAATTACTGAATTTTAAGTGAAAGAACACAAACATAGTCAAATAATTCTTCGTTGGATGCTTGGAGACCCTACCGATAGAACAAAATCTATCGCAGCTCAGAGCATCTCCAATGGCTCTTCTATTCTTCTTTTCTATTGTCACATGGCACAAATAATCAAATGTGGTATGGTAAATGTCTAGAAAGACTTCTAGATATAGAAGTCATTTTAAACAACTTCTACAATATATTATATTATTTATTTAATTTATCTTTTTTTTCAACCAATTACAATTTTACACATCATAATTTATACCACAATTAGTGCTTACCATTGGAGACACATTTTTTTAATTTTCTTTTTTCATGTTATTCAACACAAAATAGACAATGTTCCATTAGAGATGCTCTCACGGCCCGGGTGGTGTTCAGAATTTCTAAAGACTTATCTTAATTAAGATAAAGTGCTTTGTATTCGTCAAGTATTTCAAGAATTCATAAGTTTCCGGAATTGATGAACTGAGAATAAAATGACAACTTTATAACCAACTCTCCAAAGATCAAATTTTTAAATATCATGACTGAGAAAAATTATAAACAACCCATTTCAATACACAAGAGTTTATGAGTTGTGACACCACAAGAGTCCTTCGATATCATTCACATAATACATATTCCAGTCAGTATTTTCTTCT